AATTTTATTGTATATTCATTATGCACAAATGATGTTACAAATATTGGTTCAATATCTGCTATTAAAAAATGTCATGAATTAATTAATCTTACCAGAGAATTATTTCCAAAATTACAAACAATTGGATGGATTGCATTATCACCACGTACTAAACCTTCTCGATTGTATAATTCTGAGGAAATTGGTAACCATTATCATCAATTTAATCAATTACTTGCAAAATTAGGTAGAGAGATGAATTTTGATGTTATCTATGCCAACATTCAAATACAACATTTACATATTGATGGATTACATCCCTCGATTTCTTCTGGACGTAATCTAATTGAAAATGCATTATCAAATTGGTTTAATAAAAAGATTATACAATCAGCAACAGCAACAACAACTACAGCAAGAACCAAAACAACAACAGCAACATATACAACGTATGATAAAGATACAATGATGTTCAATAATGAACAATATAAAAATAGCAAGAATGTACATTGCAATGATAAGAATTACATTCAATCAAATGAGAATAATTATAATAATAATAATATTCAATTAAATTCGTATAGACAGCGGAAACAGAAACAAAAACACTTCAATCAAAATAATAACCATAATGTTAAAAGTGATAATAATCAAGATGATCAAACATCCAAAGATAAATTATTGCATATACCAGGTAAAACACTTATTCCATATTACCCACATTTTTTGAGACACAGAGAAGAATTTTTTCGAAAAGTTAAAATGCCAGAAGAATTCAAAAATCATAAGGATGAAATTTTTCATTTGAGTAACATGCATTTTCAAGCTGAATATTTTAAAACTGAAGCTGAAAAATGGAAAGTATATATGACAGCAGCAAATAATAAAAATAGAATAATTCAACAAGTAGAACCCATGGAAATAATAATAGAGGAAAACAACAATAGTCTTCCAATTGCTAGACCATCAATAGAAAATCCAGTAGATCCACCGGCACCATTAGATTTTACAGATCTTGCAGAAGTCTTCGATGAATGGTTACCAGAACCAGTTCCAGGACAAAAACGAAAGATAGGACACAGAAGAGATGATCCACCAACACCACCTTCACCACGACAACCACTACCACCACCAATCATCCCGAGACGTACATTACCATCAAGAGACCCAGACCAACCACTAACTGGAGGATCACTTCGAATATCACCAACAGTAGAGAATAATAATAATCATAAACAACAACGTTCATTCAATGCATTACTTCCAATTGAGAACCAGAATAAATCACCAGCTAGAAATCTGTTAACAACAAATGAACCATCGATAATAATATCACCAATGCAGAGTTCAACACCAGAACCACAAACAAAATCACCATCAGTTGTACCAAAGAACCCTATTGAACAACATAGTTCATTTGACTTTGCAATTCTACCCATTGAATGTCGATATCACTTAAAAAAAAACTAGACAAAGATGTAGATTTGAAACAATAAAAATTCATCAGGAATTTCTTGAAAATAAATATAAAACATAAGAAGATGAAAGAGAAAATAAAATACGTTCATCGTTTCCAAGACATATATGGGCAAAAATAATAGAATTCGTAAACAACATCGTTAGAAAATCATTAGAAAGTAAAAAGAATAGTGATAGAAAAAGATTAGATAATCTTATATTGGATCAAATAAGACAAAAAGCTATACTTGACATAGAGAAGAAAGGAACATCAACAGAACAACAACACATACATATTTTACATGAAAAATATATGAGAAAATTAGATCTACAGTTACAATTAGATAAGCTTGAAACGAGATTCGTACAGAATATGTCACCACCATCCCTCAACATCTTTGATAAATTAGAATTATACGCAAAAGAATTAAAAGTAAATAACAATCATCTGAACTCGCTTAGAGAACAATGGAAAAATACACTTCGAAAAGCAAAACTAGATTTCACTAGTCTCATGAGACAAGCAAAAGTAATCGAAATAGAGGAAGTTAATAAACAATACGTAGAACTAGAAAAACAACTATCAGAACATCTTCGCGAACCATATAAAATAAAATATGTCACGTTACATACACAAGACACAAACAGCTAGCAAAAAAGAAACTGATTTTTTTATTGAAAAGGGCGTGCGCAACGAGAGAAAACTAGTGCACGCCCTCACACATAACCATCCAAACGTTATACGAGCAAAATTACATCCACATTTCACTAAGATTAATTTCCCACCACAAGCAAATAATAAAATAATCGAGATGAAAGGTATAGAAACAAGAATCCTGAATTTAGGACCTAAATTTGTTCCGCCAGCACCACAACAAGTATTGAAACGTTTACCGAAAGAAATAAAACAAATGAAAGAGAAGGTGGCTATAGCATGGAGAAGAGAAACAAAAACTGTAGGATGTGAACCACCAATTGTAGAAAAATTTTGTCGAAGAATAGAAGAGGAGGTTAAAAAAGCTGTATCGACCGAAACAGCAAAAAATCTCACAATATCACCGACTATAAAGTACTTAAAAAGAATGCAACAAAAAGAGGGAATTATAATTAGACAAACAGATAAATCGAAAGTATTTCACATTGATACTCGAGAAAATTATATGAAAAAATCAGATTCTTTTTTGCTAGCTGTTTGTGTCTTGTGTATGTAACGTGACATATTTTATTTTATATGGTTCGCGACGATGTTCTGATAGTTGTTTTTCTAGTTCTACG